AAAACTAACAAAAAAAAATCAGGCTCCAGGCTCCTTTTTCTCTAAGTTGTGTTTTTCATTTTTGCTTGTGGAGGCCGTTTTCCATGACTAAGCCCGTTCAAATGACATTTCAGTGTAAGTAAAGTCACTCAGATTTGACAGGGTAATGGCAGCTAATAAAGCGGGCTATACACGTTCAAATTTTTGCTGGACCAAAAAAGAACTAGCATAATTTTGAAATGGATGACCACCTTTGCCACCCCCCTGCCCAAATCTATGATTGGTTTTAAAAAACTAAAAAAAAGGGGCCCTATGAAAAAGAACCAAAAGGGATGTGAGGCCCCCTAAACTGAAAAACCCCGGGCCCGGGAATGCCCAGTTTCCCAAAAGGGGCAGTTTTCCGCCCCCGGACAAAGTAATAAGGGCTTCTTTCAGGTCTGCTCTCAGGGAAGTGTTTAAAATGTAACAAGGAGAGGGCATTAAGAGGCCCAGCAAGGGAAAAAATTGGTGCATATATCGAGAGGTAAAAAAACATAACTGTTTTATGTGGGGGAAGCCCAGGGGCATAGTAAAGTACATTGCTAAGTCTCTACTTAAATTTCCCCGTGAACCTTATGCTTTCCCTAAGACCCCTTTTTCCCATGTTTTCAATAAATTAACTAAAAAACGTGCCCATTCGTGGTATATACTAAAACAGCTGCAGCCCAGCTGAAGAATCGCTGCTTCTTTGGGAGTTATCTCTCATGCAATATTCGTGTCATATTTGTTCTGAGAAAAAACCTTCTTCTACTTTTGAAAAACAGTGCAAAGGTCTAAAATGCGTCATGCTAAAAGGTAGATGTCAATTGAAAAAACCAAGAAAAAAAAAATTTCTTTTTTAAATTAAATAAATTTTATTGTTTGGTTTATTCATTGTCATGAAAAGCAGTATTCATATTTCATAATCGGTTTTAATTTCTGTATATATTTAAATGGCAAGAGCATATTGGGGGCTAGTTAAAAATGATGTCATGTCCAAAATTCGCAAAAGAAATTGTACCTGTCTCTTTTAAATTTAGAACTTTTTTTCTAGTGTTGGATTGTGTGATGAGGATTAGAATCGTCAAGGGCTTTATTTTTGTTGTGTCCCCACCCAAAGATTGGCCTTTTAAAAATTTTTTCCTTTGCCAGTGTAAAAAACGGAGAGAAAATAAAAATTTGGACATTATTCCGGGACAGGTGTCATGAGGAATTTTTTCCCCAATTTAGGGAAATTTAGCTCCCCCTTTGTTTTTTTTAGAAACAAGGAGAAAGGGAGCAAAAAGTAATTTCAACAATGAAGGCCTTTGATTTTTTCCTCCGCTAATCTATCCAAAAAAAAAAAAAAAACTATTTTTGGGCCCTAGGTCTCTTTAAAACCTTTAGCCTAAAATTTTTTCCATACACAAAGAACTACCCGCAAAAGTTATGTACAAAAAATTCCCCAATTTTTGTGAAGTCTGCGGTTTTTACAAATTTAGGAAGCAAGCAAAAAATTTCCGAGAGAGAGATATCATTTTTCCCCGTACAAACATTATAAGGACCCTTTCTGGAAAACGAGTTTGTTTTAGGCACCAATTCAGGAAAAAAACATTGGGGGAAATGAAGAAAGTGGGAAGAAGGGCAACCTAAAATGAAAAAAAGGCTGCGGGGGCTCAGCTATGAGGAAAAATTGAGGGGAAATGAATTATTCACTTGGGAAAAGAAGATTAAAGGTGGGAAAAATGATAAATGTTCAATAATCAGTGGTTCATATAGTGAATCGGGGTGGGGGTAACCCCTTGGGGATCAAGAGGACAAGGGGGGATGCTTTTATGTTGGAGGAATTCCACTTCACAAATAAAATTTTTTAAGTTTATGCTGTGCTTAAGCTAAACTCAAGCATATCCCGTATATAAAAATAAGTTATGTAATCATCAAAAAACATGAAATGTATTTTTAAAGTATCTAATCAAGTACTTGAATTTGACTTGGGTTTTGTTCTTGTAAACCCTGACAGCGAAAAAAAAGGGTGAGGGGCACATAGGAGCCAATCAGGGTTCGTTTCATTGTAAATTGCTTCAGGAAACTCTTGTTTTAAAATGGATGCAGAGCAGATATTATTTACTCATGGTCCCAATTAGAAGGTTTAAGGGGTTTTACAGTGGGGTTGCACATTTTGCTTGAGCCTGTCCTTAATGAATACATACAGTAAAGCAAAACCCAAATTACCCTAAACCTACTTTTCGCCACATTCTAAGCCTATCTTTGCCCCCGTAAGGAAACAATCACTTTTATTTCCTGTTAGCAGTGCTGCAAAACAGGCTGTGCTGTGAAAGTCACGCACAAACCGATCAGGGGTTAAGCAATGATTGACCCCCCGGCACCTGCAGATCGGGAGGGGGGAAGACGGGCAGAGCTCTGTGTCGTGGCCATCCCTGAAGAGCCAAAGTGCAGTGGCCAACCGCACGTTACTTAAATCCTGTTTCCTTCGGGGCGCCATTTTACTCTGTATACACCCAAAAAAGGGGTTTGGAAAAATGCTTGTAAAATCTTTGGGACATGTAGTCAATAATTTCAATTTTTAAAATTTGGATTGGTTTAAAAAACGTTACACCAAGGTCTGTTTTTAAAAGTTTTTTAAAGAATATTGAGTGAGTCCTTTTTGGGGGGTATTGGATCACGTTCCACTATAAGTCACTGATCAACATTACTAGTATAAAAAAGAAGATCAAGAAAAATTTCCGAGTATATATAACAGTGGTCTGGGGAATTAAAATTTCAGAAGTCCAGTCCGCAAAATTCCTTGCAGCAGAGGGTTCGAACCTCGTTAGCAATAAAACAATTCACAGTCTCTGGTTCATTATAATCTTTAGCGTACCTTTCACACTGTAGTCCTCTAATTCAGAGTCCCCTCTTTAAAGCATTCCCACGTGCTCTTTGCCCCTTCAAATCACGTGCCCCCCTTTACAATCACAAGCACCCCCTTAACAAAACACAGTTTCTCCTAACAAAACACAGCACCCCTGTATCACAACACAGCGCCCCTAAACAAACACAGTGCCCCATTATAACACATCACAGGCACCCCTTAACACGCACAGCAAATAGTATAGCAAAGATGGGATGATCTCTTTGTTGGACAGGGATGTATGTATTGCTGAATAGGGATGTCCCTGCTTTGACTGGCTGTCTCCTTGCTGGAATAGGATGTCTCTTTGCTGGAACCCAACTGCGTTAATAGAGAAGCCCAGTCAAGCAAGGGACATCACCGTCCTAGCAAAGACAAGCAGCCAACACCAAATCAATAGAAAAAGCCCAGAAATCAAAAAGACAGCCAACCAGCAAAGATGTCAGCCCCCCGTTCAGCAATGAATACCAGCCAAGTCCAGTAAAAGAGTCTGCCAGTCCAGCAAAGAGGCAGCCGGTCCAGCAGAGACAGCCCATCCAGCAAAGAGACAGGTCCCACGCCATCTAGAAGAGAGCGACAGCCCCATTCCACCATCGCGCTACCAGAACTGACACTGTGTGCCAGCGGTGTGAAGAAGAAAGGCCTTCGTTGTCCCTTCAGTACAGCAGCCAACCAAAGAGGTGTCCCTGTGACAGTAGTGCTTCCTGCTTGTCACTGGAATCGTCACTTCTGCTGGCCCTGCTTTAGGCATAAGCCACATGCTAACATAACCCTGTTCTGCCTGGAACTTTGCCCTGTGTGCTTGACTTAACCCTATTTGCCGGAACCTTTTGCCCTGTGTGGCTGACATAACCCTGTTCTGCCTGGAAACCCTATTGCCCTGTGTGCTTGACTGAACCTTATTTGCCTCAGAACCCTTTGCCTGTGTGCTGGACTTAAACCCAGTTCTAACCGACACCTTTGTTCCAGGACCTTAACCCCTGCGCCCTGCCTAAGCGAATGGGACTTTAACTCCCTGTTGTGCCCTCGCTGCTCTGCCCGGTTTGCCCTGTGGATTTTCTGCCTATAGGGCCACCTGTGAAAATGAAAATCATTCTTCATTGCTGTGTCTGCATTGTTCTGTGGACTAGTTTTTCTATTGCCTGTACCCTGAGTTCCCAATAAATGCCTGCTGTTGGGTTTCATGTGATCTGCCTCCCTGTGCTCTCTCTCTCTGTGCTCCTAGTTCATCGCAATAATAAAAGAAACAAATTTCAAGGAGTGGAAACTGCATTTATTTTTTTTTTTACCTATCCCTTGCTACATTTATATACTTATCCCAGCGTTTAATGTCTGGAAAGCTTCAGCATAGAAAGATTTGTCAGTATGCCTGAAACCATCCTAGGACAGCCTGCTTCACTTCGTCATCATTATGTTCACCATTCCCACAGAAAGATTTGTCTCTTGTTCAATTTCACAAAGTTTATAAGTCAAATATCCAGGATCAGGCGTTTCCATACACTTAATGTTCACAGGAAATGTCTGCTGTGGGCTGGGAACCACCGTGGCCAGGACCATCACTGACGGACGTATCTGATATCTTTGAAATGTTAACACCATTATAAATATCTTACTGCAGCTGATCGTCTCATTACTGTACTGTGCTTGAAGTTTTCTGTAGATATCCACAGGTTTTACACCTTCATTCACAAAAAACTTCATCAACACATGCTATTCCATGCATGCACTAATACTGTTTTCTGTCATCTTGATTAACGGTCTCTGGACTGGTCAGTAACATGTGCACCGCCTTATCAGTAAAAGTGCACACATTTGCCACCTACTAATGTGTGTAGTATCATTACGTTAGCATCCCTTTTTATACCTGTAAAATTAAAAGTACCGGTTTGACTTGAATGCCCCTCATACATTACGAGCCACATCTGATTCCCAACTACCTGTTCTAACAGATGGGTTGCAATGAGGTGCACAGTACCGATTCTGAGTAAATGCCTTCTTGCCACCTCTTACAGTATTGTATGTGGTTTTGTTTCAAAAGCAGAAAAAGTCCTAGAACTAACAGTATAGGGGCAATAAAATAGAACAGTAAAAATATGAAATACTTTCTACTTACATCAAGTTCTACTTTAGATTCCGCAAGCCGATCATGATCAGCACAGTCAATGAGAAACACAATGCCATTAATGGCAGGGAGGTAATTTTTCCACACTCTGCGTGCTAAATGAAAAAGCAAAACATGATGAAGAGGCATAAATGGTGGGTTTACAAGTTTGTAGTGCTGCCTAGGTAGTTGTTTTCACCTTGTGTAAAAATGTGTAGTAATACACTTGCAAATAGTGCTTGCTACATAGAAAAAAACATTTTTTAATATACTGAACAATGTGTACTTGTTACAGATTGAACAGGGAGCAAACCTTTTTACTGCAGTTCAGACAAAATTAGAATATAATCCAAATCAAGGATGAAGTCATGAAAGGCTGAGGGAAGAGGAAGGAAGGAGGGAAGGGGGTGTCATGCTTATGGACAACATTGCCTTTAGGTAGCAAAACCCACCACTAATATAAATCACATTTTCTCTCTCCAATCACAGAGACTGACGTTTGTTCTCATAACTTTGAACACATTTCTATCATGTTGCATTACTGAATGACAGAACAAAATATATCAAGCTTTCTAGTTCAACGGGGAGTAACCTTCTGTACACTAAAGCCAGCAAACAAACCAATCAGTACATCATTTCTACTGATAATTGGGATATGTAGAAGATGCAGGATAACCATGTGTGGGATTGCACACAGAAACTTGAAGACAAGTTGGGCACTGCATGTGACTTTCTGAAATATCTTTTACAGAAAATAATTCTAGATCGTTTCTTCCAGGCCAGTATATAATGTAAAATGTACAGAAATGGCTTGCTAGCTGCAGTGACACTCTATATTTTTGATATGTGGTTTGCTGATACACTTATAAGGGCTTACCTTGTGCATGTCCACCTAGATCAAAGGTAGTGAATGTCATTCCAGCAATTGTCAATTCTTCTGAAGCTGAAAGAAAAGTAAGTACATTATTAGAAAACGGGCCGCTTCACAGGGTACTAGCATGAAATAAGAATGGTGGTGTATTGCGACTAAAAGCATACAAATGTTAAAAATGTATGCTATAAGTCTGATGGCTGCTGTTGAGGTCTTGGCATCTGGATTTTTGTGGTAATGATCTGAAGACCGTTATCTAAAAACTATGACTATATTAACTATTGTAACTATTGGCCTGGAAACTACCGGCACTACTTGTGTCTAACTGGTATTAAGCCTGTTAACCTAATATCATGGCCAAAGGAACAGCTTTCCTCCCAAAGTGATGATCTAAAATGATCCAAGATTTTTGTGAGATACAGAGGCCCAACCAAGGCTAAGATGTGTCATAATGCAAGAACCCTATTGATCACCTGGAAGAGGACAAGTGAATTTTTAGTTCCACATACAACAGTTATACAATTACTTTATTAAAGTGCTTAGGGTGCATAGCACAATGTAGAATATCCAAGTCAAGTTTTTTTTTTAGAACCCCTTTAAGCTCATGGGCACTATATACAGTATACTGTATGTTTGTAGTGTCTGTATTGGTTGAGAGGCTTAAAGTGGTTGTAAATCTTGACATTATACCCAGTGAAGTGACTAGTCTCAGGTGATAAACAAACATGATCAAATCCTTCTATATACGTAGTCTAAAGCTGTCTTTCCCTACATCCATTCAAAGTGAAGAATTTACACAGGACCTCTTAGCACTGAAAAGCCGGGTGCAAGGAGTTGAAGTTACAGCAGTGAGGAGAGCTCTGAGAGCTGATTGGAGGGAAGGATTACACCTCCTCCACACAGCTCACAGGAACATAGTTGATGCTATCGTGCACAGGCTGTGACCTCCCTTGTCACCATTTTTCTCTTCGTGTCAGCAAACTCATCATAAATGACTCATGCCTATAGCAAAGGAATGAGGCAGCAGACAGAAATTGCACTTAGTACTCTGGATATACACACTATACAGGGATATGCTTTGTTCATATTTCATGTCTGAGGTTTACAATCACTTTATTTAAGTTTTGGCCTTGGCCCTACTCCAACAATTGTGCTACTGTTCTTGAAAGTACTTTGTTGGTAGCCAGAGGTTATAGCTGTCATGGAAATTTTGTATTGTTGGTCGAACTTTAAATGTGTCATATATTTGTGTTATTCATATGTCTCTCGTGTGGCTTAATTAAAGCTCTGAAGGCTGCAATTGGGCCATGCTCATGTACAATGTATGTATTACAGTACTCAGCTCGGTAATGGATGAGATGGCAGATCTGCGCTTATAGACCGGCGTGTATACCACCACGGCATTCGATGCGAATGCCGCTGGCAGTAGACCGCGGGCCTGTATCCACATATCAGCAGCATAGTACCACATGGGCTCCGTGCCGCAAGGCGCCAAGCGGTACGAACTCCGCGTGTAGGCTTATGCATATCTTACAACCATTACCAATCTGAACTGTATCTTGGATGGATGTGTTTTAATAAAGATCGTATCGGGCCCATCCAGGTACAGACTGATATTTCTAGGGAATGCTTTGTACAGGGAATGGACATACTGCTAGGAGCTGGGAAATATGCTGACCTCAGAAGGCTCATGGGAGGAAGGGGGAGAAAGTCTGCTGACCTCAGAAGGCTCATGGAGGAGGGGAGGAAGTCTGCTGACCTCAGAAGGCTCATGGGGGAGGACCAGTGATAGATAATAGGAAAGGCTATGCTCCAATCGGAATGTACATCCTGTGTACAGGCACTCCCCATTGCATTGTTCTGTGGGAGGGATTTGACCTTATTCATGTGGGGGGGGTGTGTGTATTGGTAATAAAACCAAAGGGGAGAATGAAAACTTTCCTTATGTGAATTGCAAACACCATCCTGAGAGTGTCGTTTGATCATTCTAGGGTAACGGAGCTCCATCCCCCACATTTCAACAGAAGCTAAAAGTAGTTGGATGGGCAGGAATCGTGTAGTTTAGCTGCAGTCGTGGTAAGCAAGATTCGCACAGCTTTATGGGGGATTTCTGCGCATCCAACTGCGAGTACTCACGGTAAGGAGAAATTCGTTAAAGCGAATTTCCAAGACAGTTTGGCGAGCCTGGTGGATACTAACGCGTATTCTTGCATAGCTAACCGAGCACGAGGGGGAATGAGCCATCATGAACTAGCAAAAAGTATGCTGGCACATTTCAGGTCTCTCTGCCATTAAGAGGATCGCTTTTTGCACGTTTGTGTGGCTGATTTCGCTCTCTGTTAGCTAACAAGAATTACCGCTTAGCAAGGACCTAATTTTGTCCTAAACTCTTGATCTGTGGGTGAAAGACGAGGGTTTTCTCTGCTGAGAGCAGCAGAGGGGTGGGTTTGGTTGGCTGGATTTGGTCAAGTTTAAAAATCTTCCAACCAAAAATTAAACGGGTATATGTTTTAGCGGGTAAAAGTTGTTGCATAGTGTTAGGTAAGTATTTGTGGGTTGTAGGTACTGTGGTGATAGCTTTACCCCCCTCCACGTGAGGTTATTATTACAGTGCTGAAAGGTTTAGGTTAATTGTTAACTGTTGTAAGACCTTTTGTGTGTATGTAGTCTGTGCAAAGTTTTGTGGTACTACTGCTCCCAGCAAGCATGCAGCAGGGGGTCCTTTCTGTTACATGTGCATGTTAGTGTGATATGTTGGTGTTTTATGTCTGTTCTGTGATCGTGCCAAATTGTGTTGTATGTGTGCTGTATATTGTTGTGTAATTGTCCAGTGTATGTTCTGTCCAAAAGTCTGTTTTATGTAAGAGGTTAGAGGCAATTTTGAGGCTAGTTTCTACCATGTGCTTCCCTGTGGGGGGCCATTCTAGTATCTACCATGTGCTTCCCTGTGGGGGGCCATTCTAGTATCTACCATGTGCTTCCCTGTGGGGGGCCATTCTAGTATCTACCATGTGCTCCTCTGTGGGGGGTCATTTTCTTGACTAACCACATGTACTCCTTTTGTTTGGTGGCCATTTTGTTGACTGCCATGTGCTTTCCCTGTTGGTGGCCATTTTGTTGATTACCACATGTGCAGTAATCTCTATGCAATGTGTATGCAGCTTCCTATATGCATTTGACCCATATTGTGTTTTTAATCAAATTTTTTTACAGTTTCATTTGTTTGCTTTTAGCTTTAAATTTACGTATTGCCAGCCAATTTAAAGTATGTTAAGCAAGTTTTTCCCTCACATGTTTCACATTTAGTGAGCGCGGTGAAGTCTGGGTTTTTGCACATAGATTTTCTTGTATAGTGATTATGTTTTTCTTGTGTTTTTCCTGTTTAAAAGTAGTTCCTTATTGTAAAGTGGTTTGTTTTAAGCTGCTGCGTCACGTGTTCACGTCCAGCAGACTTTTTGTGTAAACGGTTTTAGGTTGTTGCAGCGAAGATTGCGTGTGTAGCGCGGATCGTTTAGCGGTGCTGGTATGAGTGATTTTTGCGTCAGCACAAGGTTACTTTTGGCGCAGTTTTTCGGGTTTACCTCTGTGTAATTGTTTTACTGTGAAACGTCCCGTGTTTTTCATAAGGATCCACTTTGTCCTTTTTAACGGTTTTTCAGGTTGAAAAGGGGTTTTTCTGTGTGTATTAGGAAAGATTTTTCTTTACACAAATTTCCTAAAGGTCAGTTAGCAGGTTTCCGGCCAACCAGTGACCCCTAAGTAACATCCAAGAACCCCTCTTTTTGTTTTGACTTGTGTTAGCTACTGTGTGCAGGGAGAGAAAAAAGCCACTTTCATCATTGTGCGGTGTGGCCTGCCAAACACAGTGGGTGATGAGAACCACATAAATTACGCTGTGCGAGTGGGCGGTCCAGGGAAGTGTAACGCTTAGCATGGTTACACAAACACTTCGGGTGGTCAGGATCACATAAATTGCGCTGTGGGAGTGGGAGGGGTACTCTCAGTCTGACCGCCACTTGATGCGCTTCGGGTGATCGATAAGTATCACATAAATTACGCTGTGCTGGGAAAGTGGTGGAATCAGGCCTCTCGGTAGGATCCCACCGAGTGCTCCAGGGGGTAAACAGGTACCCGGACGCGGGATATATACCAGTGACTAGTCACGATGGGCAGTAGTCAGTCCATGAGAGAGAGGGGGAACCAGCCCTCTTCAGGGTAAGGACAGCTGCACAACTGATGAAGGTGAGTTTGGGGGGGAAGTCTACAGAACCCCTCAAAAGGTGGAATAAATGGTCGAAGGGTACCAGATGGGAAATTCCCCGGGAAGGTACATTTGACGCATGGAGGTGGGAAAAAAATTCATCTCTGAATTTGGACCACGGATGCAGGCGTCAGAACTAGAGATCGCACAGCTATGGCTTCACAGGTCAATCCGATTAGGGAAGTAGGGCATACATAAAACTGGTGTCTGTCCGGAAGAACCAGGTGATGTATACCTGGCCTCCAGAGGGAATAAAATAGGAGGATCCAGTGTCAGAGGTGGAGGAAGCTCTTTCAGGGCTGACTCTACTAAGGCAGGCAGGATCAGGGTCTGCTGGGGTTCCCGAACAACCAACAGTGGCTGAGATAAGTATAACTGCACCTGTCTCTTCTGCTAGTGACGTCACTCTTGACGTACCTTTCGTGTCTTCTGTATCTATGCCTCAGCCTCTACCTCTACCTCTCCCTTCTCCCTGCTTCACCCCAGCTCCTTCTGTTTCCAACTATGAAGCCTACTCAACAACCGATTTGCAGACTATCTGTGAATCAAGGGGGAATAGACACCCGGTTAAGAAACAGGGCGGATTGCATCAAAGCGCTACGAACCACTGATCAGACCCCTGCCCCCCAGCTATACCCTGATCTGAGGGACCTCAACCTGAAGGTGCAGTAAGCGAGGTGGTTAACCTAAGCCCACCAATGAAGCTGGGCCAGCCCTTGCACTCTTCCCGGACCGAGGCCTATCCAGTCAGGGTGCAGCAATTTGAAGGTCCTCCTAAATGCATTTTAACAGGGGGAACGGACTTTAGGGG